CAGCGGCACAGCATAAACAATAATATTTCTTTAATGTGGGGGTGCCTGAAATCCTCCCAATTTTCACGTATCTTTCGTTAAATAAAAGAAAGATATTGCAACTCGACGCTCCAAGGTTTTTCGCCGCATTAGAAATTCACCAGTATCGTCGCTTCGAGGTTGGATTTCGTAGAAGACCGCCGACCGATTTCTCGACCTTTTCTCACCTGGTCCCCGAGCGAGCCAACGGAGTGGTCAATTCGCTCAAGAGAGCCCCGGCAGGCATCTCCTAGATATCGGTTTGCGCTCTCCCCCGGGACATGCACGTGCGCGCGAGAAATCGATTGATTTTATACCTTTCTTACCGGACAAGTTTGAGGCTCAGCTGGCGCGCAATACAGAGATAGACATTAACTATCAACGACGAACAACTCGCGTAACTGCGAAAAGTTCGTGTCGCAACGTAGAACATAGCGGGATAAGTAAAACAAAAAGAAGAGAAGGAGTTTGAGATTATTCCAGCACGCTTTTGCACTTCGCCCAGAGCTTCCACAGTTTCTTTGTAACGGAGAGCGAGCAACGGAGGAATCGTTTGTCGACGATTAATTTTTAAGTACGAATGGAACGCGCGAACCGAGTGAACCAAATGTATTACAATAGTCGTTGGGACGAGTGTTTGTAAAGATTCCCGAGCAAGAATTACACGGTGCAAATTACAATCTGGCAATTTCTGTATTGTCAAGATATTTAATAAAACAATAATTACAATATAATGCAATTTTTTAATAACGATGATGATTAAACGACTATATTTGCTTTAAATAAGTTTCGATCATTTTTGTCAACTTTTTTTCCAAACAAGTCGCGATAATCACAGTTATATTATTCTGTCCAAACAAATTGCAAGATTTCCTCATCTCAACGTGAGTTTGAAATGTAGCTATTAACATTTAAATAGTTCTTACGGAGCGATATTTTTACTGAAGTAATTTTGCGGGAATATCCGAGACACTATTAATCGCGGTAACGTCAATCACGTCACTTTTATCATACACGTCGGGGCTCAAAGGATCAAAGTAACTTAAATTGACATAGCGGACCACCGGTATTACGTATTCCGATATTATATACGGCGACGAATAATGTTAACGTGTGCTCGGTAGACTACCGGTGATCTGTGCTATGAGTTACTTATGAAATCTGATGCAAAAGGGGATTTGTAATCCCGTCCGCCATCAACAAAAGCCCGTTACACCCGCCACGCGGGATTCCATTCGCGTGGATTCGTAATACGCATGCACCACGTCTCTTTCCGTTTGCCACTCCCGAACCGGCGCATTACATTCGGGAGGAGAGTCTGCAAGACTCTGCGGTTTCTTGTACTAGTACGATAATTAACAGCCGGCGGCAACTTGGAACTTACGAGCCAACCGACCGACCGTCCGCGTCCGCCCGCCCTCAGGGTCCGAGAAACCACTTCGAGATTTGACGCACTGTGAAATTCCGTTTAGCGTTAATTCGATTTCGCAAATCGCGAAAGTTGCGTGAGGTTCCCACGGTCGGCAGTCAAAAGATTCAAGTCGATGGATCGGCAAATTAGCGGTCGGAAACGTTCGAATTCGCGCGCGCTCGGCTTTTGATTAAATTGAATTTCATCAACGGACGACAAATAGCTGAAAAATTACGCGAGCTGTCAAAAGTTACACGCATATGAAATATTAAGCGACATATTTTTTTCACGGGGATACAAAAAAATAAAAAGAATATTTGCTTTACAAATAAATATGATTCTATAAATAAATTCAATAGGTACAAACCATAAAAAAAGATCACGCGAATAAATATTTATAAGAACTTGTTCACCCAAAGTTTATCGCACGTGAATGTTTTTTTAATAAAATTCTGGAATTTCGAGAATTTTCCTCTCCATACTAAAAAAAGCACAAAAGAATATTTCAGATAATGACGTTAGATAAATCCACGTACGTTGTATATTGACAACGAAGGGTAACATTAATATGACGTAGGTAACGAGATGCTTTGAGAAAAAGCCTTTAAGTCATTGCGATCTCATTAGAAAGAAGGAGAGAGGAAAGGAAATTAAAAATAAATTTATTTTGCAGCGACATATTCGATTTCCGTATGACACCTCAGAAATATAACTACGTCATTTGAATGAAACGAAGCAATTAACATGATTTCAAAGACAAATTTATTCTTCAATTAATTCAGAGATCGAACGAAAAAGGAAATTCATTACAACAAGTAAAAAATTAATCTCTCTCCTTGAAATCAAAATAATCTGTACATAAATAAAATTTATTCAAAAAATATAAAGCTTTATTGTAGAGTCCGTATACGCGTGAAAGGCATAATTATATGCTCGACGTTGCCAGAGAAGATAACGGAGTCATTTATTACGGTGTTTGCGGAAAACAGTCCAATCAAATTTCATTATTCGGACTAATTACGGCCAAAGAAAATTTATGGAAGTATTCACGTCAATGCGGTCTCTCAGAATCCGTTTATTCTTATAAATGCTTTCTCTTAAGGCACATCGCTTGCTATTTCTACATTTGCCTTGCAAGTTATCGTTATAAATCCTCATCATTTTTTCCCTATGACGCATGTTATAAATGTATTTACGTAAGTTCTTTAAACGACTTCTGTATACAATTGTTTCCCATTGATGTGTCGATTTTTACAAACTTTCAATATCATTTATCATGAAAAATGGAAGACATTAGTTTCCGATTTTATAATTAATTTTTATGTGTTTAAAATAATTAAGCTTCAAAGTCCAATACACATGCAAATAGTATTTAAATTATTACCGGCACTTTCTCACTTCCAACATATTGCGAATTTTTTCTCTTACTTTTATACTTTACGCTTAATATCGTGTAAGCATAGTGCGGACAAATATTAATGGAGCTCAGTGTTATCCGACGCAATACGTATTCGTCGTTCAGTAACGCTAAGCGAAAAGTATCCGTCGGGGAACTATTTTCGAGAGATACGCAAAGAAGCGCCCCCGTGAAACGAGCGCATTTTATCACTTTGCCGAGCGCGTCTGGTTACGAATAATAAAAATACGGTCATACGATAAAAAGCTTTATTCCCCTCACAACAGGGAAGCATAAATCTCGGATTAAACTCGCGGCAGAGAACTGGATCGCTTTCGCGCCGTAATATATACGGTTCGCACGGCAGTTACGGCAACGCGGAATTGTACTTTGGACCAAATTATTCCAATAGAGCGCGAGGGGGATCGCGTCTCCACCTGTATGAGTTAAACGCTGATTACTCGTCATTGGGCTCCGCGCGACGTGACGCTGTAGCGCCGGCTCCGACGGGAAAGCCGGACGTCGTTGATCACGATCATGCCGTTAGAATACGCGATATTCGATATGATATTCAATCTGTGCTCATTTATGTGAAATACTGACACGTATTGCGAGCACGCACGGTGGGATGTAATAAAGTAGTTTTCGCAAATCGGCTGTTACCGTGCCGCTCTATCTCAACGTGCTCGTTTATTTTTACGTTTTTTTTTATCCCCGTGAAAATTGGTCTCGTTAATCTGAAAAATCCGTTCTCGTCGGATATTGTTCGGTAACAGATATTTCTATTATTATTTGTTTTCACGAAAATCTCGGAGGAGCTTCCGATATAACTTTGAGCGCACCAAGATCTGCGAAAGACGTATGTGAAATACGATACTGATGATCGTGTTAATACACAATAACAATTGTTTTGTGGCATCGTTATGTGGCAATCGATGAATCAGTAGCGTGACCACAAGTCACGAAGAGTACTAAGTTTATAATAGGTAATCAAATATTCTTAATATAATAATAGGTCAAAAAATTATGAATCATACCGATGAAAATAGTAATAGCGATAGTACTATAATTATAAGTGAAATATCAGAGAGAGAGAAATATCAGAGAGAGAGAGAGAGAGAGAGAGAGAGAGAGAGAGAAAGGAGGGAGAGGAAAGAAGGGAGAGACAGAGGAAAGAAGGAAAAGGGATAAAGCAATACAGCCCCAATAAATTCCCATTACCTTGATTCGAGAATTGAAACAGATCAAGTGTTGATTAAAAATAACGGTACTGCCTCGGGAACTGCTCAAGAACGTAACTTTTAGTAACGAAGTTATGTTGAATTATTATGCAAGTGACTTTATAATAAATTATGGAGAAATTCAGTACAATTCATCGCCGTGATACGAAGCGGGTGTAAATCGTTTACGTAAGGGCGCTCAATCAAAATATCAGTCGAAATAATGATCGGTCCAATTTCTCGAATTATACAATCCCTGATAATGGTATTGGCGTTACCATGAACGGCCATGACCGCAAAATGGCCCAATTCGGGCTCGCACGCGGGATTTGCTTGTCGCAGAGCAAGCCCTTCGTCAATATTCACGGATGCAAGAGAGAGAAATTGCGAGAAAATAGTAAGTAAAAACATTAAGAGCACTAGCGATTTAACGTATAAGAAAGGAGCAACGTTAGACGTTCGGCAGATCCCGAGAAAAAGATCTATAGAAACATTAGAGGATCTCAGATGCAAAATTTATCATAATATAAAGGTAAGCTTAGTATTTCTGATCATAATTTAAAGTTTATATAAGGCTGTTTAATCTTGCGGAAGTCGTAATACAATTAAATTTACAATTTTTCCTTACTATCTTCTGTACACAATTTATTTTTATTTCATATAAAAATATACCTTTGATTCCAATCTTATCATCTATGAGATACGAACACTATGAAGGAATTTAAGTAAAAATTTGATATTGTAAAAACACAGATATTTCACAATCAGAGAAATTACAAAATTAAATATTATATCAGCATTAATATCTTTCAGCTGTGGATCTTAAGGCAATGAAAATCTCAGATGTTACTATTGTACATATACATATATCTTAGCCATATTATATTACAATTTTCATAGATCCCCATTACCTCGCGCACTGAAATAAAAGATAATTTAGCAAGTGCTAACTTACCAAACCGAAACGCAGTAGCGGAGTTTATAGCACATCTAACGCCGTTTAAAATACATCTGTAAAATACAACGAAAGTAGCCAAATTAACAAATAGCAACGTTGAGCATAATTGATATTTCAAAAATAGTGGCATGCATTTAGTTTTTTTCTTTTTTAAATAGATATTTAGTGAAACAGTACCTAATAATTCCTTAAAAACGAGTAACATGTAACAAATAAATTACACTTACCCCGCGATGCTCCGCCGTCGTCCGATGCCTCCCAAGCGGCCCACTTCTTCCTCTCAGACTTCTTCATTGTACTCGCACAATACTCACTCGCGAACACGCGGGTTAATTACTACCGCACACATACATCAATCTCGAGAGAGCACAACGATCGCGCGATACTTTACACTCCCGTCCGCGACAATCGCGATTCTTCGTAAAAAATAAAAAATAAAAACAATCTCGTTTCGAGGGATAACAAAGAGTCGCCGTCGCGAATCACTTCCCGTCAAGCAAACCGTAGGAATTTATTTATCGCGAGTGCTAAAAAGTATTGCTCGTTGCACGAGAAACAATCGCGTTACTTGTAATACGTATGTGTCGCGAGCGCGCGTATCTCGGAAAATAATAACGAGCCGCGAATCGCGTTTCTCGATATGAGCTACGTATATAAAAATTTATTAGCCACGAGTATTCAGAAGCATTACAAGGAATGATCGCATTATAATTTATATACACGCTCATCGCAGACCCGAAGGATGATAAACGCGACGATATACCTATGTGTGTGGAGCGGCGCGTGTACGCAGAACTACGCGCCCGCTCGAGGCTTCGAGCACGAATGACCGCGGCGCGACTTTGTGTACAACCTGCCGACGCCGACGCGGCGTACGCAGGAAAACAAACACCAAGGTCTCGTGCTATTCGTTGTATTACCTTAATTTTCGATGTGCGCGTTGAGACGTGTTGAAGGATAATAAACGCGACGATATACCTATGTGTGTGGAGCGGCGCGTATACGCAGAACTGCGCGCCCGCTCGAGGCTTCGAGCACGAATGACCGCGGCGCGACTTTGTGTACAACCTGCCGACGCCGACGCGGCGTACGCAGGAAAACAAACACCAAGGTCTCGTGCTAATCGTTGTATTTTCGATATGCGCGTTGAGACGCGCGTTGTGATATGCCATAACATCTCCCGCCGTTCAAACGCGCGATTCTCCTGACGCGCACCGCGGTGTATTTTAATTAGAAAATAATCGCGCGTTTCGAAAGGTAATTGGAACAATCGTCGTCGTGAATTATTTCTCGCTACAAACTGTTGGAATTTACTCGTCGCGAGTATTTAAGAGAAACGTTGCTCGTTGACGAGGAGTGATCGCGTTACTCGTCGCGACTGCGCGCCCCGAAAAATGATAGCGCGACGCCTGCATATTGGAGCGGCAAGAATTACTATATGTACGCAGAACTATATTATACCCGCTTGAGATTCGAAGCACGAATGATAGCGGTGACGTTGTGTATAACTGATACGCCGTACGCAAGAAAACAAGAGACCAAAATCGCGTGCCGATCGTTGTATTACCTCTACCTTCGACACTCGCGTTGAAACGCTTTACGGTATGACCGCCATGTTGCGCACCTTCCGCGTTCCACCAATCAGATGCGTGCTGCCTGACGCGCGTCGTGCGCGCTGTGAACGCTGCGTCGATCAGAAAATTCGAATTCACGTAGATGGATAACTTTGTCGCGTTATTACAGTTTGTCCAATCTGACCATCGACATTAAATAAAGAAACGCTAAGTAATGATAACGTTAAATTAATAATTCCCTGCGAAACGATGAACTGCTAAGCGGATTAATTACAAGTTCAGTTCGTCCTCGAATTTAATGTGTGAATTGTTAAGCGGATTAATTACAAATTCGGAGTCTTTTTAAATTTAATGTAATTCTTTTGATTTATAAAAGGTGAAATTTATAAAAGGTTTTAATTTATTTCTCTGAAAACGGAAATTTGATTACAAGTAAATATAATAACCATCATTTAATTTACATGTAAATAAATTTTATATTAAAACAAAAATGAACTTTATTTTCCAAATAAATGTTAAATTTAATGTGCGTTAATAAGCCGTTTAACAAAATTAAAGTACAAAGAGTACATCAATTAATATATGTCGTTCCCGATTACAAAACGGAGCTTTAGATCCATTAGAATCGTCGAAATCAACCAAAAGAACACACTTGCTAATCAACATACCCATAATACATGCCAATGTTTTATTTTTTTTATTACACAGTACGTAAAATTTTTATGTATAAAATTCCATCCTACATTCTGTAACGGAAATTGATTGTCCTGTGCAGAATTATCCCAAGCGGAGCAACATGTCACGGTAACGTCATCATTTAATAATTATTTTAGTCATTTGGATGCCATTTTGATGTTATGATGATGCTTTAATTACTCTCCTTGAATACGAGTACGGAAATTTATGTGCGGGAGCCCTAAAGCTCGTAAACAAATTGATCAAACTACACTCGAGAATTGTCCAAAACGTAAAGCTATACCATTTTTAAACGCGCAGCTCTGATTGGCCAATTCGCTTAAATAAGTACGGGCTCTATTAAGCTTTACTTTTTCTCCATATATAATATGTAGATCCGTGTTAAACTAAATTCCGCGACACACCTCAAACGCTTAGAATTACAATTGACCTTGGACAGCGCAGAACACGTTAAATATTTTCAATGGTGACCGCGCCGCGCGAATCGTTTAATTTCGTACGCGGCGTACGGCACTGAACGTTTCGTATGCGAACGCGCCCTACGCTTCTATCATTTGCGCGGCGAGGCTCGAGTCGGTAGGCAGCGGCGCGCGCGTGGGCCGCTCGCCGTTATAATATATCTCTATTCTCTCGAAACGCGACGTGGTAAGCACTCAAACAGAAAACGTTATTATCCTCTATTATCCTCTGATATATTATCGATCATCAGTGATTAACAATCGCGACTACGTACATGCATATCGGGGCTGCTTATCGAAATGGATATTTCACGAGCGCGCGATTCGTTCGGTTGAGGTAACAATAAATACATCGAGGCGGGACGAGAAATTGTTGGGTCTCGTCGCGAGATCCACGGGATTGATTATATCCTTTATCAACGCTGCTCACATTCGCGTCGCGCTTATTTGGATTTTCCGTTTCGGAACATCGCGGAGTTGAGGGAGGGAGCGGGTCGAGCATTTTCCGAGTCCGTTAACCTTGAATTTTCGTGAGAGCGCAAATTCGGGCCGGGTGTTCGTTCGCGGGTGGCATTGGTACGCGTGCATTGGTAATTAAAACCTTGCCGCCCGAGGTACGTTCGTCGCAGTGATTAGCGCTACTTCACAGATGTCGGGCGGATCGCGTTCTCGCGTCGCGTCGCGGGGTACCTCTTTTCCGCCATTTTCTTACGTCACGGCGGCGTCTCGAATCTTGAAGCGCGCGTCGTGTATAACGTTAACGCCGGGAGTGCGTGCCGTTTCTATCGCCGCGCGATCGTAATCAATGTGTTTTCGCGAGTGAAATGAGTCCGCCCGTGAGCCGGCAGCGAGGAGGAACGGAGGCGGGAAGGAAAAATGAGAGGGACGACGAGGAGAAGGAAAAATCGGGAAAGGCGTCGACGGCGGGCGCGGAGGAAACTCCGACAATAAGATGGATTTTCGTCCTTGCACCTATCTTGCCGTTTGCGAGGTGGATATAAATTGTTTACCATTGCTTTATTACGTGCGACAATTACTTTTGGAATTATTAGTTATTACGGACGTTGCTGTAATTTGAATATATTTATAGGTTAGCGTGGACTATCCGATGTTTATACCCCGCCGCAGCTGCGCATCAAACAGTTGCGAGGTATAAAATTGTTGATTTTATACGTGCGACAATTACTCTTGGAATTATTAATTATTGCGGACGTTGCTATAATTTGGATATACTTACAGGTTGGCGCAGATTCCCGATGTAACCTCGCCGCTGCGCATCGTACATATAGAGGTGAGTGATCGGGGATCACGGTTTAATTTCAGGCAATGGATCTATTAAAATTGTATCACGCACGTTGTATCTCACCTACTGTGTGTTAAGCGCAATATTACAGGTAAAAATAACGCCTCGCGAATTCAGCGCCTCAAAATCGATAGGCCACAAATTATTATAGGTTTTGGGATCAATATTTAATCGTAGATTATTTCTTAATTTACTACGCATTCGTGCATGACGCACTTGTGCACGGAAAATAGAGCTCGTTACATCGTCGTATCAATATTAATAACGCATTTCCGTGTCTTATTACGCGACGCGACAAAGTATTAATTACGAGACATATTAATTGAAAATTTATAAGGAAATGATAGAAAATAATTTAATTTAATATCTAAAATGAATGTAATTTGAATTATATCTAATGCGTGCATTAATATGAAACTAAATAACTGAAACACGATATATGAAGTTGAAATTAACTGAAGTAAAGCGAATACAGTCTATAATTTTATGCGGCGGCTTATATTGTGAAGTGAAGTAGTCCGCGATTTTACATAATGGCTCCAGGATTAAAGTTATTTGAGACTTCGTGGATACAAATTTAAAGCCCTTAAGCCGCGGGAGGTTGCATAATGCATGTATAAGCATCAATGTGCTTTTATTGCATCTTTCGATCCTTACTCGTCCGGGGCATTTGGCTTGCATGATAAAGAATTTAAAAACGAATTCAGATGCGCGGTCAAATAATAAACGCGTTACGCGTGGGATAATGTTAATGTCCGCGTGCGTTTTTGTTTCTCGCGGAGGGGAAATTCTCCGTTCGATGGTTCAGACTGAAAAACAGCGAAACAAGAGTAACGCGCCCGACTGTTCTGTGTCGCGTACACATATTCCGGTCGTGCGCGCATTAAGCTACGCAAATATACATCTGAAATGAATAAATACGTCACTCACTTATGCGTTTTTCATAATTCGCGCAACCGAATGCAGTACGTATTTCTTTTGTATTCAAATATTTCACGTGGAACACACACGCGAGGAAACGGTGCGAAATAAAAGTTTAACCAGAACAATTTTCTATAACTCTCTCTGAATAAATATCGCGAAGCACCGAGAGGATAGACGGTACACAACGAGCTTTAATTTGCTCGCTTTAAGATTTAAGAGACATGTTTGCTATACCGAATATGCCGCATCAATGATTCCGATTTCGCATAAAATATGTCATGAAACTGGTAACACACAGGTATAGATATGAATTTGTAATCGGCATTTTCGTAACGAATAAAAGTCCAACTACGGAATTCTTTGGTACATTAAATATCAATATTCTGTAAAATGGCAATGAAAAATCGTGTTCCAATTTAATTAAAATTTAATTATATACTTATAATATATACGTTCTTGATATACAATTCATACAAATTTTGACATAAATGTTTTACTTTGCAGTATAAAATACTAAATTATTGTTAATTACGTACATGTCTACGCGGAAAAATACAAAAAGTAATAACACAAATGAATTCGTCAGACATAATAGAATTTTATTCGGAAAAATATCGGTCTCTCGCGCGCTCGAATCCCCGTGCGTCTCGGGTATTGTCTCCGTGCAATAGAAATAACGAGTCGCGAGTTTGCGAAAAAACGTGGAATTGCACGGAAATGCATGCGCGGACAAATTATCCTTTCTGTTCCATTAAAAAGTACGCGTCTTCTTTTTTGAATAAAGTCAAATTACATCATCGGATCACGAGCTTACAAAATCTCGCAATCCGTACGCATCGGGAATATTCGAATGCACCGCGAAACGCTTCACGGGCATTACCGCCGCGCATGATGAAAGCAGTTCGCACAATGTATCGCGAAAAGCCTCGTTACGTGCATTTGAATGTCAAACGTACTGGCATTGGGGAAACATTATTACGTAAAAAACAGTGGCCCGTGGTTTTATTCGACAGGGACGAGCCGCCGAGCGAGCGATGCGCGCTTTATTCTCTCGTGTGCATTTTGGCGTCACGCGAGCGAGGGTGGGATACGTAAAAGTCCACTCTACGCTGTTAAACTTAACTTCCGTATAGCGGTTAAAATTAATGCGCGTAAGCTCTTATCTGCATGAAATTCTTATTCGCGATTCCCCGTGGGCTACGCAAATACGATAAATTGGAAGGGCAAAGAGTTTCTTAGTTGGTTTCTCCGCTCGTTCTAAGATTCCATGTTATACAGTTATGAGAGATATGTTTCGTAATATGCAAAATGCTTTCCGCTTTCTTGCTCTCTTGAGATACCTTAAATAATGATTTCTTTAACTTTTGTCTTTTTTACATGTATATATTTCTCATATCTTCTTCTAATTTGTTATATAAATATATAAATCGCAATTATATTTATTGAAAAAAATGAAAGACAACGGAAGGAATAATGAAAGTAGACTTGAATATAATAAATACATCCGGTAATTTCAAAATACGATAAGAAAATATCGATTTACATGAAAAGTTTGATCAATTTCATTTGTGACAGAAAAGTTACCTATATAATTTAATATATTACTGTCTTAATGTAAAATTAATTATACGTCGCTCAATTAATTGAAATTGAAATCTTTCTTCTTCGATTATCGGTCATGTTATTGTTTGAAAAAAGAGGATAGGACTAATAAATAAAGAAAATAATTGGCGCAACAAATTTTTATAATTCGTTAAAAATAAAAGCTGCTTTAGGCTGGCTCTCGATATGAACGTACGTAGTATATTATACGCCGTTAAATGCGCGTCAGTAGACGTGAGATTCGTGTACAAATTTTCGAATTTACACAATATTGTGCCATCGGATCAGACACAGTTGCGAAATGCGCATTAATGCCGCACGGGAACAGGCGTTATCGCGCCGCGCCGTTGCTGCTACTGCCGCGATATCAATCGTGATGCAATCTGCAGCGCGCGGCTGCAAGCGGGACAGCGCGAAATGCTCCTTTCCAACGGATAACGTTGTCAGCAAGGGCGAGAGAAACGCGCCAGAAACTCGCAGGTTGGTGATTGCATCTCGTGCTTTTCCCATTGAGAGTTCGCGAAATTATTTTCGCCGTCCGTTCGTTCGTTCGTTCGTCCGTTTATTCGTCCGATTGGCAGATCGATCGATTGGCGAACGTTCGATCGATCGTTCCGCGAATCGCGACACGAATTCGCTCGTTCACGGCGGCAATGTGAAGACATTGAGGACGATTTATGATACCGGTTCCCCTGACTTCTTCCTCTCTTTTCTACAGCCCCTCCTCCTTCCTCCGCCGAGATAATCGCCGGATGAATGGAAAGTGGGTTAAGTCTGTTTCTAGGGAAAATTAAGCCGTCCGAGTAACTTTTCGACGATAGCTCGGCATGAACGACAATGGGAATGACCGGAAGTGCGGAGATTTCCGTGAAAAGTTCGTCCCTCGTTCCTCTGCAATTTCGCGACTTGTATTTGTTAGCGCGCTTGAGAATTTGTAAAAATAAAAATTCTCGTGCTTCTTCCGGCGCTCGCGCGCGATAGATTCTCAAATAGGCTGAAGTGATATAACTTTGAACACGAGCGCGAAGACATAAATACTATTTAAATCTTTAAAGTAAATCTTACATTTTGTACGCTCGAGTGATTAAATACAAATTCTTCCAAAACTACTATATTATGCTGAAATTATATGAGGTCGAAAGTTCTTAAGTTATTAACAAGTAAAGATTACGGATTGCTGTTGTAGTTCGTGGAAAAGCGCGAGCAGACAGTAATCTTAATTTTTAGTTAATTAAATTTCAGCGAATGTCAAAAAAGTTTTAATTGGACGTGCGTAAGCGGTGGATTTAATGGAATTTAGTATTTACATTAAAAAAAAATATCTTTATTGGTCTGAGAAGTCAATAATTTGAGAGAGACCTTGCGGCAGTTTCGGGCAGCTGAGTTTTCAGATTGTCTCTTCCATCATCCTGTCATAAATTCTCGTCGTTGTTCACATCCCGGCACGTTTTGACTTATCGTTTGTTTATCTTGTTGATACGCCCCGGATTTCTCCAGTGATTCGGATTCCGGCTTGGCGCAGGCACCGGCGAATTCCGGCGCGTTTGTCGCGCGGGTACGTTTACGTTTTCGCCTTTGTCTCCCGTCCCTCCCCTCCCTCTTGCCCCTTTCACGCGGATTATACATCTTGGCGGAGCTTGCCTGTATTTCAAAGCCGTGCCATCGAGCGGCATTTACGTAAGATACTCTCCGCGGCGTTCTAATAGCGAAACTTGGAGTTGGCCGATTGAAGGAGAAGGAGGAGGAGGCAACGGGTTGGTGCAGGGCGAGGAACGGGCGAAAGAGAGGTGGAATCACAACAGCATTCGAGATGGATGCAGGGGCAATTTCTGACGGTGCACTGAATAGACCGAGTAGGACTTCAATGGCAAATATTATGTTAAATCTCTCGTGAATAGGACAATGCCGGCGGCGCCCTATTATCAGGGTCTTAAACGCGAGTATAAGGTATCATATTAGAACCATATTGTGTTATATCGTGGGCGGGTGGGCTCGTAAAAGAGACCGGGGAACCCCCGTGGGAAATATGTACGCAACTCTTGGAAGTTCTCCCGCGCTGGATGAAAAATTTATCCGAGCCGCCTCCGCCGCGCCGCGCCGCGCGGCTCAAAAGCCTGCGGGAAAGTCGGGAGATGAGAGTCTGGGTGACTGGTGCGAGAGAGCGCCTAACGTCAACGGTAGGGTGCCGAATCCGCGATTCAGACACCTGTTAACTGTATACCCCTCATGCGTATAAATAACCGCGCGAAATATTGTTTTGGGTAAACTCGCTCCGCAGAAATTCACTTAGAAGCTGACCGAAAGGATCGTTTCTCCTTATTATCTTTGAAAGAATAAGTAGTTTACATCTCGTTAAGGCAGACGAGTTTTAAAATATTCGTTTAAATCAGATTATTTTGGTAGATAGACGACGTCAAATTAAAGGTTTTTTCAACATGGATTTTTAAAAGTTAATTTTCTGA